CTGCGCTGCCCGCCAGCCCCTCCGTGCCCCGCGGGTCCCTCCTGCTTGCCGTCACCTCTGCTTGCGAGGCCTCGTGAGCGCGACGCAGCGAGGACGTGCCCAGCTGCGAGACGTCGATGGTGTCCATCAGCAACTGCTGCCTTTACCCCTGCCCCGAAGCGCCCGCGCCCCGATCGCCGTTTATTGTGTTTATCAAGGGCGCAGGTTGGATCTGGAAGTTTTGGAGATGCGGAGAGCCCCTTGGCAACGTGAGGAAGGAGATGAAACCAAAGATGCAGAGAAGTTAATGTGTTTTCAGTTTGCAAGAGCTTGGAAACGCCACTGATGCTTTATTCATCTCTTCTCCCCCTGGAGGACAGCAGTAACCTGCTTTTCCCTCTCTCTATGCTGAATTTCCTTCACTGAAAGCTCAAAGGGACAGTGGCAAGTTAATTCTATCTTGGAGACAGACCGTTTTCGTCTGTGCCTTTCATAACCCCTTTGGATTATTAAAACACCTTTAAAACCGGATTTTTAAATTTATTTAAGAAGTCAAATTTTCTCTTTGTGCTGTTTCACTTCAGCAGTTTCTCTGTCCCAGGAAAACCCAAAGGCCTCGAGTCTAGCCGCTGTTATTACGACCTTGGGCCTGTTCCATCACATCCCAGCTGCTGGGGCTGCACTGCCAAGGCAAGGCAAGGGCAGAGCTCAGCCCACAAGCAGGATGAGGCCACAGTCCCCAAAACAAGCAGAAATGAGACCGAAGCCAAATGCTTTCACACGTGACGATCAGTTGTATTTTCAGTCCATTAATACACATTCATTGACCAGGTAAGAGTGGAAAGGGAAGCGACTGTTAGCGGAAACAAGGATACAAAACTCAGTTCCAGCAGCCTTCACAGAAGGGATATTCAGTGTTCACAACCGCACCGGCGGAAGGTGGAGATGCGCAGAGGCCGGCGCTCACGCTCCACGTGGAAGCTCTTGCTCTCCTTTTGTCGATTAGTTTAGCTAGAGACACGATTTAGGAAAAAAAAAAGAACAAAAAAAACCAAACCCCAACCCCAAACCATTCCCAGAACTGCGACCTCCGACACTTCTTCTCGTTTCCCGAGCATCAAGAAAGAGTCAGGTAAGTCGGAATTATTTACTTGGAGGAGATTTTATGAACACAGAGTGGGAGGTTAAAAATTGAACAGTCACAAATATTGGAAAATACAACAAGGAAGCAGGCGGGGGGGAGGGGGGGAGCGAAAGCCCAAGGGGATCATTGCATTCAGTGGTCGATGTACAGTTTGTGGGTCTGCTCCACTTTGATCTACCTTAATTTCACAGGCTTAACTTGATTCATTGCCACGGCGTTACGCTCCTGCTTTAAACCTCCATTCTGCAGAGCTCCTGATTCCGGCAGGACCTCAGCCGTGCAGAAGGGATGGCCCGTTCAAAACAAAGCCCCAAAACGCAAGAATGCATTCGCCTCTTGTGGGCCACCCAAGAGATGCCAACCTCTACCCGTATACCCAATCTGGACACCACTTGCTTTCTTCACCTCGACCACCACCATGTCCTACAGACCAGGACCACGTCCTTCCTGCCAGAAAACCAGCGCAGCCGCTCCGCAGCTGATGGGGGGTGTCAGTTCAGACCTGCCTGGGTTTGGGTCTTTACATGCGGCAGGAGGAGAAGGAAGCAGCATCAACCTAAAGGACCATCCAGTTAAACGCCCCCCCAGATGCAGCCTCTGTGCACAGATTACACCCCCCCGACTGTCCTGACTACAAAAGACCTGTTACACTGCAATAACAACAGCAAACCACGTCTGAGCTTGATTGTACATGGGTCTTTCTTTGGAAGGAATGAAGATATTGTAAATTATTACTGCCAGGGTCCCAGACAGGCAAAACCCGCATGGAGATCTCCCCTGGGGGGCAGCACCAGGATTGCAAAAATCACGTTGTGAAACCTGATCAAAAGAAAGGAAAGCGGAGCGTTTGGGGTTTAATCCAGCAAAGGTCACATCAAGTCAGGCGACAAACGGAGACCAAGAGACCAGCGACTGAGCCGAGCGCTTCGCATCTGCCATGGAGCACTGGAGTAGTTCTCCTACTGATTATTTTTTAGTAAAGTTCTTACATATGATGACATTTTATCCCTCATTTTTTAAACCATGCATTAATTTTGCAGTGAAATACTTATCCAGTCCAACATCTATACAACAAAACACGTATTTAAAAATATCAGAATATTAAAAAGATACGGTAAGGAGCGTGAGTTCTCCAAGTGGCACATGTTAAGGAATAAATTACAGGGAAAAAAAAAAAAAAAAAAAAAAAAAAAAGAGTGTTCTACTCGCACTGAGCTACAAAATAAAGTCTGAGCCTGGAAGAAGTTCTCATTTCTGATAGTTCTAACAAATAAACGCCACAAGAAATGTTTCTGGGTTTGCTAGTGCTTGAGTCCACATCGCTTGTTACAGTACTGTGTATTTGCAAGCGATCCTCTCCAGTTTGAAGGTATCAAAACTAAACCCACGCTGGAATGACGGCCTGGGAAGTAGTGATTGTTCCGGTGCAGAAATCAACTCACTCAAGGTGTTCAACCCCACGGGCTTCTTAATATAAGAAATAAACCTCCAGCCGATGGGACCCGAGGAGCCAGCTCCGAACATCAGAGCCAACAGGAGCCGTGCCATCACGTCTGAACGCTACGAAATTCCTGGCGTCAGGAATTTAGCGTTGACACAGGGAAGGGATGTTCAGCGCCGGCTCCTCCGTTCCCGCAGAGGGAAACCTCCTCCCAGACAGGCAGCCAATGCGAGGCCTGTCTGCTACTTTAATAACGAAAGACCTTTTTAATTAGCACCTTTTTGTAAGAATCAGTCCGTTAGATCTCTCCTCCGTGGCTCTGCTGCGTCGCCTGGGACCAGCGGCCATCGCGTGGCGGGCTGAGCGCTGCAGAACCCGGTGGTTTTTCCCCAAAGCAGCCTGGCAGAGGGGGAATTAACGCCACTGGAGTTACGAAGCCCCAGTAATTAGCTACCTACCAGCTTAAAAGTCAATATAAGGATAATTTAACAATTACAGGAATCTTTGCTAACATGAGGACGGGGACAATAAGAGCACTTAGAAGATGACAGGAGTCTTCAAGGTTCACGTGTACGGGTGGGGGGGTTGAATGCTTCAGCTATGAATACAGATCTGTGTGCCTTACCATGATTCTCTGACAGGCTGTAATTGTTTAAAGTTAGCAGCTTTGTTCAACCTAAACCAGCTAAAAACGTTATCAAGAGATAAAAAGCTCTGAACTAGCACTGACGTGAAATAACGAGACACCTTTGATCTTTCTTGATTGCAAATGGTCGGGGCACATATTGCTCCGGCGCTGCAGGGGGTGACCCCAGATCAATTTTTTTAAGGGGGAAAAAAAAAATAAAAATCAAGGGAATGTACTTATCGGCTCACAGCGTGCCAGCTTAAAAGCATCGACCCCCTGGACCAAAGACCATCACTTACAATGCTGCACGTGCACTGCCAACAGGCTCACCAGCCAGAAGGGACTGCAATGGGCAACAGCAGCTCCAAAACACGAGCGCAAACCAGCAGGAGCTGCAGGAAAGGGCTGAGACTCCGGCTGTCCCGCAGGAATGTCTGGCGTCGTTACTTGCTCGGGGGATGCAGCAGGTACAGAATTACCTGGCGCCTATTTTCAGATCTGAAGACACAGAAGGCAGTTGGCTAATACATGGGGCCAGCTATGTTTTGGGGATAGCTAGGCGATCGGTACGGTTCTTTTCCAGTTAAAACTAGGTGAGACTGTTGGAAGAGCCAAAAAAAGGAAAAAAAGAACCATGCTTGTGAACTAGAGTAAATACCAGTCTGCCCTGGACTTTCGACCAAGGAGAATTGGGCACAGCGTTATACCCAGCTACTGAGGGGATGCCCCCGGACGCGCTGGCAGCAGAGGGCTCAGCCTCCCACTCCTCCAGATCCAACTCTCCTTGGGTGTTTCTAATGCCCTGATCTCTTAGTGTTCGACACAGCATTGCCACCCGATGGGGAACACCGCTCCCGAGACCGCAGCTGGAGCTGGGCACGATATCAGGAGAGACAACTCCTCGCAAGATGGAGGAAGGTGTAAAGACCCAGGACGGCACCCACCACGCGAGGTCCCGACCCAGGAGCAGTAGTGTTTTTTGCCCAGGGATGCTGAATCAAATCACTGCTTTGCTGCACGGTGAGACGCAAAATAGCTTTGGAAACTGTCTTATGGAAAGGGAAAACAGGAGCGGGCATGCAGCGTTTTACTTGCGCTTGGGAAGACACCTCCTGCACCACCACGCTCAAGGGTTGGGGCCAGACTCATAGCAAAGTCTCCTTGCACCCTTGCGGTCACCCCATCCACAAAGCGACACGCCAGCTCAGTTTGAGCGTGGCCTCAGCTCTAGCTTAACAGCCTTTCCCTTCTTTTAAAAAGGTAGACTTTTCCTTCCATCCCTTTTCTCCCCACATGCTGCAATCTAAATACATGAATGGAGGACCCAGAGCACAGAGCTTTGCCCAGCTTTCGAGTTTCTGTCCCGTGACACGCAGTCCCTCCCTTTCCTTCAGCTCTGGAGATCTAAGGCTCGAGTTTAAACCTTGCTCCTCTCCTGGAGAAAAGCCTTCGCACACAGTTTGAACAAACTGACGTGCTGCGTTTCCATGAAGGCCAGCAAACCCCAGTGATTTCCAGCACCTCCGGCTCCATCAAGGCTGGTCTTTGCCAAGACCTGGGCACCACCGTGCTGCGCCTGAGGACTGCTGATTGCTCTAGCTGTGGTAGCAACATCCCCCCCCGCCCCGCTAGAGGGAAGAAGAGACCGAAACACTGATTCCGATACGAGATTGTTAGCCCCTTTCCATTTAAGAAGTGAAACACCTACACTTGGCAAAGGTGTAGGGCAGCCCAAGGCAGCACCGAGCAGCACCTCCCGACAGCGCCGGGGCTGCACGACGTGCTCTGACGGCGTAGGAAGGGGTGAGATGGGGCGACTCCAGCGAGCCGAGGCGCGGACACCCGAAAGCCTTAGAAGCACACACAGCCCACGAGCCCTGCGCAGCCACGGCACGATCACGGTACGTATGCAACCACGGTATACAGCTGGCAGCAGTAACAACACTAACGGGGATTTGCTTCCTGTCCTAGGAAGTGGCCTGCATCCTTTAGGTGCTCAGAACGCGTCTCAAGAAGTAACTCCTTCAGAGGTTAAGCTTCTCTTTGCCATCATTTCCCAGTCTTTCTGCTGCCCTCCTTTGCTAGTGTCAATTTGCTTCAAGTTCCCCCACCAAAATCCTTAAGAAAGGCACATCAGCTTGGTGGAGATCTTTCTTCACTTCCCTTAGCAATAAAAGTCTTTCCAAAATCCCGCATTGGTCATTGACTGGACTCTAGACAACCAGACTTTAAAACGTAAAGCAGCCTGCACCTTCTTAAGTCCAAACCTCCATGGGTACCATGGACTCCTTTGTTCCGACGGAGGGAAGCAAGTGCTCTTCCTCCAGAAAGCGAAAGGGGAATTGTACTAAAAACCCACGGATCTTTTTTAATTCTTCTGCTGCTTTCGCAGGATCATCAGTCGCTAATTTGGGCTTGTTGATGAAATCACGCAGTTGGGTTAAATTATTCACCTGGTCACTGGGAAGGCATCGGAAAACCTGATCAAAACAGAAAGCAGAAGCGGCAGTCAGCGCGGGGGAAATACTGCAATGCGGAGTTCCCGAGAAAGACCAAAAGGTCTAATACAAATTCCTCGGGACAGGAGTGACTTAATTAACAGCCTGGAGAACGGGGAGGGAAGAGGTGTGTGCCTATCTGTGATATGGCTAGAGCAGGCAGAGAGGAAGCTCCGGGGCTTTTTCTGATCACTGCAAAAGCTCATTAGAAATGAGAAGTTAAATTTGCTTCTACTCCAGTTAGGCTACGGGCAGCTGGAAGCAGTAAGTACACCGCGGCGATTCACCAAAGCCACAGCTGATACAAATAAAAGGAGAAATCGCAACTTCTTGGGCTGCCATCGCACTTTGAGGATGCCCAAACTCCAGTTTCTTGTTCACAGCATCCAACCCTACTCATTCCTCCAAAGCATCTCTGGAGGTCCAGCTCCAGGAGCTGGATGTGCTGCCCTTGCCCTCCCCGTGCTGCTGCTCCCGTTGGCATCTGCTGCCGATGTATGGGAAGGAGTGAGGGGAACCGTGCCGCGTTCCTCACCTTATCGAAGATGGTGGCATTGCGAGCCGCTGTAGAAATCCACACCTCCTTGAAGAATTTGTCGCAGACGGGATCCTGGTGTTCCGGACTGAGATCGGAACCACCAAGGATGACCCTGAGAAAAGAAAGGGATCGATGCTCACGGAGGCCGAAGCACCAGGTGCTCCCCCTCTTGAGAGATGCCAGGGGAGGAAAAGTTTCCTTGGGACTTGCCAAACCCCACGTGCTCCCAGCGCCCTCCCGCTCCCGTCCCCTGCAATCGTCTGTCAGCCTTAACGCTGCCCAAGTTTAAAGAAAAAGGAAAAGGTCTTAATGAAGAAACAGCCATGTTGTGGGCCAGATGGCTGCTCCAAGTGAGGAAACTTCCATTAGAAAGGGGCGCCGCCACCCAAAATTAAGAGAGTGTGAAAACAGGATCTGGAGGCAAAGTATCACTGTCTTGTTTACGAGCTCTCCCAGCAAAATCCTTGAGCAAAACGATTTGTAAGTCAAGCTGCTGAGCTGAGGACAGGAGTGGCACGAGAAGGGCTAATGCCAGTGAAACGGCGGCAAAACTCTGGGCTAAATCCAGGCCAGGCAATGCTGAATCTGAGCAGGCAGCAGCAGCCCCGATGGAGTGAAAGGCCGTGGGCAGGCGTAAGCCTGAGCAAGCCCAAGCCTGAGCAAGCCCTGCCTGCACCCCCGCTTGCTGCCCGGGCTCGGCCAGCCCCACGCATCCCACCTGAAGCACCGCAGCCGTAGGGACTGGGCAAACTTCCCGGCGCTGTAATCCTCCCCATCCATCACGGAGGGGATGGTCTCGGTGTCCTGCACGATGATGGCCATCTCGCTGTCCCGCTTCCCCAGCATGCTGCGGTCGTTGATGTTGGCAGAGCCTGGCGAGGGGGGAAAGGAAGCACCGGCAATACATCACCCGCCGCATCAGATGCTCCCGCACACCCCCCCCATCACCCCCCAGGCCCTCCGCATCCCTCGCCTCTGTGGCAGACCAGCTATGGCTTCACTAGGTAAAACCCCGACCAGAGGGTTTCCTTACGGTAACACAAATCCCAAAAACCAGGGTGAGCGGGAAGGCAAAAAACGCCCTAGTTTTTGCAGGCTTCAAAAGCTCCAAGCTTGGAAGAAGGTTAAATCATAGCCAAGCCCAGACCAACATTTGCAAAATGGCCTCAAGTGGTGCCAGGGGAGGTTCAGGTTGGACATTGGGAACAATTCCTTCCCCTTGGGGCTGTCAGGCACTGGAAGGGGCTGCCCAGGGAAGGGGTCGAGTCCCCAGCCCTGGGGGGATTTAACAGCTGGGCAGAGGCGGTGCTGAGGGCCAGGGTTTGGGGGTGGGATGGCAGGGGTAGGGGAACGGTTGGGCTGGGGGAGCTTAAAGGGCTTTCCCAACCCAAATGATTCTTTGATTCTATGAAAAGTTCGCTCCCTCTGTAACTTCCCAGATGCTTGTGATGAAGGATGCCACAGATTTCCAAGGGCTTTCCTGCATCTGGTCTGGATACCAAGTTACCCGACTCAGGATGGGCTCCATGGGTAAATCCACGGGTAAATCCGCTCTCATCTTTACCAGTGTCAAGAGGGGAAGTTTTTCATTTGCATTTGGGAGGTGGGGGTTTTTCAGGAGGGGGATCTAGGAAGAGGGACATCATCTCCTTGCTGTGGGTAACCAACACCCAGACCCTCCTCTCCCAACGGGTCCACGCTTTTGTGTCCGCAGACGCAAGAGCTCCAGCACCGTCCCTGCTAAGGCAGCGAGGCAGCAGCAGACCCCAGGGCTCTGGGGGACCTTCTGACCACGGGAGAGGTTTCTTTTCTGCTCCTTCCCCTATGCCTGCTGCAGCACCACTGCGTGCTGTGTAAACCCCACACCCCAGAAAGGCGAGAGGTGCTTTCCAGAGGGGTGCAGGGGGACTCACGGGTGTCCTGTGCACAGCTCCCCACTCGCACCCTGGGAAACAACCACGCCAATCCCCAGCAAAGCTGCTGGAGGGCAGCAGAAGTTCCCCTCCGTTGCATTTCTACTCCATGGCTCTGGCTGTGCCTTTTGGGGAGAGCGGGGGGGGGTGCCTCTCCAAAATGCAAGTAAGGGTTTGGGTGCTGGGCCCACACAGGGGCTCCAGCCCTGACCCTGTGCCGCGATGGGAGCTCCCCAGCCCCGTGTGTGCCACGCAGGGCCTGACGCCCTACCATTGCTCGGCTTTATCCCCCAAAACAGGTTTCCCTGTCCCACGCAGCCGTCGGAAGGCGAGGGATGGGGGACACCACAGCACTTGTTGGCTCCAAGGGAACAGCAAGACGCAGCCAGCCACCGGAGTCATCAGGTCATCAACCCACAGAAATCATAGAATCATAGAATGTTTTGGGTTGGAAGGGACCCCTAGAGGTCATCTAGTCCAACCCCCCTGCAGGAGCAGGGACACCGCTAACCAGATCATGTTGCTCAGAGCCCTGTCCAACCTGGCCTTGAATGTTTCCAGGGATGGGGCCTCCACCACCTCTCTGGGCAACCTGTTCCAGTGTTTCACCACCCTCATTGTAAAGAACTTCTTCCTTATATCTAGTCTAAACCTACCCTGGTTTAGTTTAAAACCATTACCCCTTGTCTTGTCACTGCTGGCCCTACTAAAAAGATTTTCCCCATCTTTCCTATAGGCCCCCTTTAGGTACTGAAAGGCCGCAATGAGGTCTCCCCGCAGCCTTCTCTTCTCCAGGCTGAACAAGCCCAACCTACCCTGGTTTAGTTTAAAACCATTACCCCTTGTCTTGTCACTGCTGGCCCTACTAAAAAGATTTTCCCCATCTTTCCTATAGGCCCCCTTTAGGTACTGAAAGGCCGCAATCAGGTCTCCCCGCAGCCTTCTCTTCTCCAGGCTGAACAACCCCAACTCCCCCAGCCTGTCCTCATAGCAGAGGGGCTCCAGCCCCCGGATCATTTTTGTGGCCCTCCTCTGGACCTGCTCCAACACTTCCATGTCCTTCTTGTGCTGAGGGCTCCAGACCAAACAACAAAAAAAATATCTCCAGACACAGCCCCCAGCTGCGCAAGAGACCCGTGGGCACTAGTTAGGCACCATTTAGCCTTCCCAGGGACTGAATTAACTCAAGGGGAGCAAACATCTCCAGAGGAAAAAGGAGCCAAGCCCTTCTCCGTTCACCTCCCTCTCCTGCACAGTGGCATTTTATTCCCGTGCACGGTCTCTATCTTGAGTGGAAAAGACACGACACTGGCTCCCCGTCAGCTCGCCAGCTGGCGCGGATGCACGTGCTGTATAAAAATCCATCCTCAGGCTTACAGGTACAGGAAAACAGAAATGAAGAGCTGCCTCAGGCCCCCAGACCGTCCCCACTGCCACGAGACCGCTCCTGCTGCAATATCAAACCCACCCTGGGCTGCTCCGAGTACTGGAGAGGGGATCTGACCCCGGGAGGGTAACAGGGGAGCAAACCTAAGCACAGGTCGCCCGGGACTATGGGCTGAACCCAGGAGGGGAGCGTTCAGCATTTTGCAAAATCGGGTATTACGTTACTCTTCAGCAAAGTTTTCGTTGCTGATATAACAGGGTTTCGTTAAAGAAACAGGCTAAAACTCTGCTTTTCTGCTGCGACGCAGAGCTCCGAGCCTGCAGTCTTGCCTCTGTGCTTTGCGATCTCCTAATAAATACGGTAAGGGGAACGGATGAAATGATATCCATTACTCGCTGTAACATATTTGCCCGTTCTTAGGAAACGGAGCTGATAAATGACACATGTTGTGCAAACCTTCCAAATTTTACAGCACATTCTGTTCTTTAAGGAACAGATGACAAGTCTCACAAGTCTTCCTGCTAGAGCAGGGCTTGATACAAGACAGATGGACAATATTCCCTGCACTGGGATTCTCTTCACTGCTACACAGAGATTTAAAGCCATTTTAGAAAAACAAATCTAATGACAGCCCTCCAAAATCCTCTCCTCCCTCCTACCTACCCCTCCTGATGAATTTATGAGTTTGTTTATGTGGGTTGGGTTGTTGTTTTTTTTTTTTTTTTTAAACCAAAAATATTTCACAAGAAAGAAATCACAACATGGAATAGCAGACGGCACCGCAGCCTGCGCCGAGCGCGGGGCAGAGAGGCAAAGGGACTAAACCCAGGTGTAACCAAGTGGTCCAAACCCCTCCCGCCAGCCCCCCGCTCACCGATTATAACCGTGTTGTCGTCAGCAATGAGCAGTTTGCTGTGCACGTAGATGAGCTCCGTCACAAGCTTTCCTTCCAGCTCGGCATACGTTCGAAGTCCACAGAACGATATGTAGTTTATCCACTTATCTCCAACTGGAAATTGAAAGGGAACAACCCCGATGGGATGAGGCAGGTGGAAGAAAGAAGAAGGAGAAAAGACCCTCTTTTTATATAAAGACCCATATGAATAACGCTTCACTTTTGACCTTTTAAAAAAAATAATAACCCAACAGATAATGGAAACCGGTTTCTTTAAATTCAGACTTTAAAAGCTGCCTGGGGGGGGTCTCTGCGCGGCTCTGATCCGCTGCCTGCTCGGATATGTTCACTTTGGTGAAAAATGACCCAAATCTCCCTTGCGCAGCACGCAAGCACTCACAATTTACACAAACATCTTAACATCACCGAACTATGCGACTGTTTTTCTGCAGATCCCGCAGGAAGGAGGCTGGAAGCAGGTGGTGTGCCCCTGCACGGCACAGAAAATACGTTCTCACGAACTTGTCTGCAGCCCAGATTGCCACCAAGACCTAGAACTAACGAGGCGCTTTGTACGCCCCTGGCATTTACGCCGCGTGGGGTTTCGTGGTGCTCGGATTCCCCGCAGAGCAAATTCAAGCCGGCATCCTCATGGCGAGGAAGCGACCCAGGAGCAGCGTCCTGCTTCGGAAGGCTTTTCCTCCCCACGTCCGACAACCGCCAGAAACACGCCCGGGATGGGGTTCACAGGGGCAGGGGGGGAGGCAGAGGGCTCGCTGCTCCCAGAAGCGTGACCCTGCTCGGGCTGTTCTCCAAATTAACGCTGTCCTCAGCAGCTGCAGCTGTGCCGTGCTCCTCCCTGGGGTCCTCCCCTCCTCCGGATCCAGGCTGCATCCAAGCGTGAAGTCTGACAACCGGCCAAGGCTCACGTGGCCCGACAGACCTCGCCGTGGGACGATGGCCAAGGTGGTCGCTCACGAGCCCACAGCACACATCGCTGGTCTGGAGTCCCAGGCTGCTGGGGAGCGGCTGGGGGAGCTGGGGGGGTTCAGCCTGGAGCAGAGGAGGCTGAGGGGAGCCCTCATCGCTCCCTACAACTGCCTGAGAGGAGGGGGGAGCCGGGGGGGTCGGGCTCTGCTCCCAGGGAAGGGGCGATGGGACGAGGGGAAACGGCCTCAAGTTG